TTTTTCCAAGAAGCCCATCTCTTCCACTATCCCACAAGCTGTCTCGACTGAGTCACAAAGCAGAGGTTGGCCCGGGGCCTCCTCCCCCTCTTCCTGCTCACCACTCTCCCCCAGCTTTGGAGGCCATGGAGGGGGTTGGGCGGCCATCCCCTCCTCGCCTGTTCTGCTGCCCAGAGCCCAAGGGGACTGCCATGAATGCTGCCTTGGTCCTCCTCCACCGGCTCCTCGGCTCTCCTTTGTCAACCGTGGCCAGCAGGCGCTCTCCCCAGAGGCCAGGGATCTCACAAATGTTATTCTAGGGCTGTGCCGGGGTCCAGGGAAGTAGTGAAAGGCTCGGATTGTCACCCAGCGGGTTTGATTCAGCACTGCCACTTCATTGTGTACAGCTTTGAGTAAGGCCCTGAGCTTAGGCTGCTCCACTGTGGGGTGACCACTGCCTCGTCAGAAGCTTGTGAGAATGATGAGGCCACATTTGTGCATGGCCTGGCACGGAAGTGGCTCTTCATAGTTGAGGCTGCTGGGGTTTGGGAGCCTCCGAACCTTCCCTGAGAGGAGAGTCCCTGGGGACCTGTGGTCTTTGTCCACAGCAGATGTGCTGATGTGCACTGGTTTCTGGATCCTGGGCTCTGTGCCTGGCACCGTGCCTGGCACCATCCTCAGGCTGCTGCAGTCTCCTAGGAGTCAAGACGAGCAGTAACAAGAATAGTGCCGTATACTCCCTTCTCTTCAGCTTAGCACGTGACCCTGGGCTCAGCTCTCTGTGGGCCAAAGGTACCTGGGAGACTGCCTGGAGGAGGCGGCATTGGGCTAGGTGTTCATGGATCAGGAGTCATGAGGGTGAGGAGCACCTTGAAGGCCATTGCACCAGCTTGGGCTTTTGGGGAGCCTGGGCGGAGGCTTTGTTTTTTACAAAATTGTTTTAAATTGAGATTTAACGTAGACCATAAAATTGGCCCATTTTAAGTGTACATTTCTGTGTGTTTTAGTATAAATCCACAGCTGTGCAGCTGTCACCACACTCCAGTTTTAGAATGTTTCTGCCACCCAACAAGGTCTCTCGGGCCCATTTGCAGTCAGTCCCCTCTCCCACGCCAGGCAACCACTGATCTTCTTTTTGTACCTATAGTGTCTTTCCTAGAAATTTCATATAAATGGACTCAAACAGTATGTAATTTTTTCTGTCTGGTTTCTTTTACTTAACATGGTATTTTTAAGTTTTATCATTGTTGTTGTACGTATTAGTAGTTCTTTTTTGTTGCTGGATGGTATTCCATTGTATGGACATACCACTGTTTGTTTATACGTTTACTAGTTGATGGACATTTAGATTGTTTTCAATTTTTGTCATGAATAAAGCTGCTACTAACATTTGTGTACAAGTCTTTGTGTGGACATGTTTTCATTTCTCTTGGGGCACTGAGTCATATGTATAGTTGGTATATATTTAACGTTTAAAGAAACTGCTAAACTATTTTCCAACATGGTTGTACCATTTTTCATTTCCACCAACAGTATATGAGCATTCTGGTTGCTCCACATTCTCATCCACATCCTTGATATTGTCCTTTTTTTTTTAAAGCCATTCCAGTATGTGTGGGTTGTGATTTCGATCTACATTTCCCTAATGACTAATAATGTTGGTCATTTCTTCATGTGCTTATTGGCCGTTTGTATTATCTTCTTCGGTGAAACGTGTATTCAAATCTTTTGCTGATTTTTTATTGGGCTGTCTGTTTTCTTGTTGGTGAGTTGTAAGACTTCTTTATATATCCTGAACACAATTCCTTTATTAGATAAAATGATTTGCAGCTAGCTATTTTCTTTGGGTGGGTTTTGGGCAGAGAAGGGACCACGGGGCTAGGGGGAGCCTCTGCCTCAGGCCCAAGGGGCTCTGTGTCAGGATTTCCTAGGTCAGAGGACCCCTAGCTGAGCTGCGGGGGCAGAAGGCCTGCTTGGTTATGCTCAGCGCGGGAGGGCTTTCCTTGGTGCAGTCACTGCTGCCGGAGACCCCCCTCACTCGCTCTTGCTGGCCCAGTGAGCCCCTCTCAGGCTCGGAGATGCTGGTTAAGCCTTACCGGCCCACAGAGAGTGAGGTCCAGAGCCCACAAGGCCAGTTGGTTAGTCAACGAGTCACCTGGAGGATCTGGTGTTGGGAGCCAGGGCGCAGCCACAGGACCTGGCCTGACTGAGTGACTCATGGACCTGGAATTTCCGGGTGCTGGGGAGTTGAGCAGGGGATTGGAATGCTGGATTTGGTAGGCTCTGGGCATGCCCAGGGCTCCTTTGGCACAGTGGTTAAAGCACTCAGCTGCTAACTGAAAGGTCAGCAGTTTGAACCAACCAACCTCTCCATGGGACAAAGATGTGGCAGTCTGCTTCTGTAAAAGTTACAGCTTTGGAAACCTTATGGGGCAGTTCTGCTCTGTCGTACGGTGTCTCTATGAGTCAGAATCAACTTAGTGGCAGTGAATTTGGTTTTGGTTGGGGCATGCCCAGTACAACCGTTGGCGTGTACCTGGGTGTGTGGGCATCACCACCGTGTGCCTCGGGGAGCACTTTCTCCTTTGCTGCCATGGCTGACAGCCCAGCATGAAGAGTGGGTCCTTCCATGGCTGTGCGGGGGCAGTGATAGCACGGCCGGCTTATCTTGTTACCGGCTCATCTTCTTACCCTGAGAGCCAATCTGAGGACACTTTGCATGTCCCCCCGAGCATTGTGAAGTGGCTTCTTTATTATTCCAAACTTTATTGGTTGCAAGCAACAGTATCGTTCAGATAGGTTTAAACAAAACAAAAAAAGAAGAAAAGATATGTGTTGGGGGGTGGTTTTGGTGACTGATGGAAGTGAAATGCTCAAGTCACCAGCTTCAGGCTCAGCTGGATCCAGGCCCTCCAGGACCAGGGACTCGGCTCTGCTTTCTGGTGTTGGCTTCATTCCTTGGCAGGCTCTCCCATGCGATAACAGGGATGGCCCTGCAGCTCCTGGCTTCCCTCGTACACCCAGGCAGCCCCAGGACAAGGAGAGCACCTCTTCTAAAGGTTCCAGCCAGAGCCCAGGCCCTAGCGTCACATCATCATCCCTTAGCCAGTCACCAGCACTCAGGTTGGCCAGGCCTGTGTCACTTGTCCACTCCAGGAGTGGGCGTGGGGTCAGTCCTACATATGGCATGTGGATCAAGAATGGAGAAAAGGGTTCTCTAGAAGGGAATGAGGTTCTGGGACCAAGGGTGGTTCAAGGGCTGCCTGGGCCAAGGGCACAGCGTCCTCTATTGCACCAGCAGTGAGCACTCAGGGGCTTTGTTTCCCATGTCCTCAGGGTCTTGAGGGGTGATGCTCTGTCTGCCTGTGGTGCTCTGCATTCCCTTCCCTGTTGGACAGTGCTCCCTGAGGGCAGTGCTGAGTCCTCCTGTGGCTCTGGGACAGGACAGAGCCTGGCCATGGTGAACACTCCATAAACATTTGGTGCGGGAAGGGATTATGCAGCAGTTCCACTCCTAGTATGTACCTAGGAGACTGGAAGGCAGGGACTCAGACAGAAGCCATCCACCAGCGTTCACTGCAACACTATTCACAGTAGCCAGAGGTGGAAACGACCCAGGTGTCCACCAGCAGATGAACGGCCAAACAAAATGTGGTCTGTCCACACGATGGAATATTACTCAGCCATAAAGAAAATTGAAGCCCTGATAAATAGATGATACATAGATGATGAGATACATGAACCTTGAAAGCATTATGCTAAGTGAAATCAGACACAAAAGGACAAATATTAAATGAAATATCTAGAACAGGCAAATGCATAGAGACCAAAGTTGGTTAGTAGTTATCAGGGCTGTGGGGAGAGGAAAATGGAGCGTTATTGCTGAAGGGACATTGAGTTTCTGTTTGAAATGATGAAGAGCTTTTGGAAATGGATAGTGGTGATGGTAGTACAACATGGTGAGTGTAATTAATGTCATGGAACTGTACACTTAGCAATAGTTAAAATGACAAACTTTTGTATGTCTATTTTACCACAGTAAAATTTAAAAAACAGGCAGAAGACTGGAGGAAGAGGCCAGGGGATGGTGGGCCTGTCCTTGCGTCCCCTGCAGCAGCCCCGTCTGGCCGTCATCTGCTTCTCTGAGCTGATCTGCTTGGAGACTGGAGGTGTGTCCACTCTCCAGAGTTCTCTTCTAAAGTGCTCGTACTCCTGTAAGCTGTGTACCTCTGCTTAGTCAAGGAGATAATGAAGCTCTAATGCTGGGACGGCAGGCAGGGGGCGTGGCCAGTCCATGGTGTGGGGTTGCAGCAGGCGGCCCACACGGAGGAAGGAGGGAGGAAGGTCTAAGCTTCTCTGGGCATGTCCCTCTCCTGGGGTGGGGTGGGCGGTGCAGGGTGAGGAGCCCAGGAACTGGCAATCGGCTTGCGTGGCTAGGGGAACAATCAGCAACTGGTCAATTACATCAGGTTTTGCTTTGTACAGCTTACATCAGGTGGGGTGTGAATTGTTGGCTGGTCCTAGAGGGCCTGGGGGCTGCTGGGAAGTGAGACCCCACGGGGTTGGTCTTGGTGTATCAGAATCTGTATCAACCTGTGCTTCATGGTAAGAGCCACGCTTGGCCTGTTGGCAGTGCTGACCCACGTGGCCTTGGTGTGGGGCTCCTGGCGTAATACTGGCCATTGCTTCAGATCCCCAGGCATTTGCTCCTGGCTCTCCCTCCTGGACCCAGAGGTGAGCAGGCAGAGCATGCCCAACCTTGGGGCCCAGCAGACCAGGACGCGTGTCCCAGCAACACCACCAGCATCACGCTGGTGACCCTGGACCACACTCACTGCCATGGCTCTGCGCCTCAGATTCCCTCTCCAGACAATGGGCTGATGATGGTCCCTGCCTCTCTGTGATGGGGGAACTTGACTCCCACAAAGACTCTGCATCACCATCAGGTGCTCTGGGAGGCAAGCTGAGGCCCTGGTGTCTGGTGACACTGTGATGTGATCGCTCCTGCTCTCTGCCCGCAGGTGAGTGAGGATGGCGGAGAGGATGTGACCTGCACCGACTCACCCACCCAGCAGTGGTGCTGCCATGCAGAAGCCCAGCGGCCTGAAGCCCCCCGGCCGTGGGGGGAAGCACTCGAGCCCCGTGGGCCGGACATCCACTGGGTCAGCCTCAGCTTCTGCTGCTGCTGTGGCCACTGGCTCAAAGGAAGGTGCGTAGGGCTGAGGGTGAGGGGGCTGGAAATACAGGCTGGACACTGGTTCACTGGAAGTTATGTCTGACTGTGATCCCTTTAAAAATTAACTAGCAAACAGGCACAGACACGTGTGTGATGTATGTCCTCCCTTTCGTGTTCTCTAACTCAGGGAGGTGGGTACCACTGTTGGCCCCATCTGAACCTGTTAAACCTGTTGCTGTCAAGTTGATTCCAACTCATAGTGACCCTATAGGACAGGGTAGAACTGCCCCATAGGGTTTCCAAAGAGCAGCTAGTGGATTTGAACTGCCGACCTTTTGCTTAGCAGCTGAGCTCTTAACCACTGCACCACCAGGGCTCTGACCCAGAGATGAGGAAAGGGAGGTGGAGAGAAGTATGACACTTTGCCCACCATCCCTCGCCAGTAGAGCATAGCCAGGGTGCAAGCTACAGCCTCTAGCCACCTCCCCACCCTCCATTCAGGCCCCTTCCAGGTTCGTGTGGAGCCAGCACCATCTTCCGCCAGCCCTCTTGTCTGCTACACAAACCCAAGCCCTTTAACCTTTCCTCATCTGACCTGCTGTCTTCCTGCTGGTGGACAGAGGGTACCCACAGGGCAAGGATCGGGAGGTACCAGCCCCGATGGGTAGAGAACAGCTGTATTGATTTGCTTTTTCTGATGATAAAAGTAAGTTATGCTCACTGTGGAATAGTTGGGAAGTTTTATGCAGGAGGAAAAAATTGCCCATAATCCCCCCACACCCCCACAAAGCAACTGTTGTTCTTATTTTGATATTTTTTTTTTTGTATTTTTTCTTACTTATTTACAGTCATATTGCATATGCACCTGAAAAACTGGTTTTTTTCCTTTTCATATAATCAGGTGCATTTTTTCCTGTCCATAAAAACTTACATCACTTTTAATGGTTGTAAAATACAACCCAGGGCCTGCTCTGTGGACACTGCCCCAATCACTGGAGCTCTGATTCTGAGCAAGCCAGCTGTGGCCGGGCTCTCATGGGCTCCCAGCCCGGTGGGGAGGCTCAGTGCATTCGATCTTGTAAGGGGGACCTGAGCGGCCCAGAGGAGGTGCCGCATGAGGTGGGGTCTGGGGTGCTGGTTCATGGGGTGAAGAGGGGGAGCATTCCAGGCGGAAGGAGCAGCACATTCAAATGAAGGCTCAGTGGCAGAGGGTGCGTGCGAGTGTTACCATTGTTCTGTGGAGTTGATTCCGACTCATGGTAACCCCACATGTGCAGAGTAGAACTGTTCCATTAGGTTTTCAAGGCTGTGACCTTTTGGAAGCAGATCGCCAGGCCTGTCTTCTGAGATGCCTCTGGGTGGGTTCGAACTGCCAACCTTTTGGCTAGTAGCCGAGTGCTTAACCATTTGTGCCACCTGGGGACTCCTATGGTGAGTATAAGGGGTGGAAAGAAAGTGGGTGTGGAAGGAGTAGAGAGAGGATAGGGGAGTATGTTGATGAGATGGGGGTGGACCGGGAAGTGGGGAGGGGGGCTTGAGACCATGGAGAGTTTTCCTTTCATCTTAATAGCTGTGGGAAAGCCACTGGAAGTTTTAAACCCAGAGGGGTGTGATAGAAGGACCTAGAAAAGTTTCCTTATTCATTCTCTGCTGTTGGAAATGTGATTAATTCTTATTTTTCACTTTAATAAAGCTGTGATGAACATCTCTGAGCACAAATCCTTGCTTCAGTTACACTCCAACCAGCAGGGTCAGACACTGCCCATCTCATCTGATTGGCACAGAAGTTTGGAGAGACAAAAACAGCCAGAGAGCAGACTGGGCAGTCCAGGCAGTCTGGGCCCTGGATGGGGTCAAGGGAAGCTTGAGCCAAAGGCATGGGCAGTTGGCAGGACCAGGAGCCTGGTGGAGCCACACAACTAGCATGAAAGGACAGGGAAGTGCCAGGCAAGGCTCATGGGCAGACCTGCAGGCAGGCCCTACCCAGGGCAGCCTCATCTGAACACTCAGGCTCCCAGAGCCTTCCTGAACAAGAGAAAACCAGAAGGCACGGTGTTCCAGGTTGAGGGAGAATGATGCAAAGGTCCTGGGGCATGGATTAATTTGGTTTGTTAAGGAGAACTAAGACAGGTTTGGATGGGGAGGGGTGTGCAGTGAGGTTGGGGAGGGTGGCAGAGGCCTGATGGTGAAGGCCAAGGGGTTGCGGTGTGTTGTATGTGTGATGGGGGCATTGGAGGGTGTTGCCGTGGGGGATGTGTGGGGCCCAGTGTGGGTCCCAGAGCTCATGCAAAGGCATAGCGGGGCCAGGGGATCTGGATGGTCCAGGGGGCCTCAAGTGGGGACGGGCCCAGGGCGGGGTCAGAGGTGGTCAGAGCAGGTGAGTAATTGTGGGCAAAGGCCTGGGTGGAGCAGTTGGGGGGCAGCCCAGTGACAGCATCCCCGGGGTGGGCAGGAAGCTTGCTCAGGAGGTGACACTGAGTGAGGCACACTCAGATTAGGGGAAGAGCCCCAGGCAGCCTCATCTGAATACCCACACCCCTGAGGTTTGCGAGGTCTGGGGACAGGAAAGCAGGTGTGAGTGGGCAGGGCAGAGTGTCGCAAAGGGCCAGGGCAGGACTGGGCAAAAGAGGGAGTTTGAGTAGCTGTGACTGGGGCAACTGGGCATTTGGAGTTTGTCCTGGGCCTGTTGCAGGAGAAGGGTTGAGGCCTCCAGTGTGGCAGCCCAAGGCTGCTAGGGGGTGTGGCCCTCAGGGCAGGAGCAGCCTGCAGTGGTTGGCAGGGTTGAGGCTGCCCTGCAGCTGTGGGAAAAAAGGGACCCACGGCCAGGCTGTGAACAGGAGCCGCCGCCCTGATCTTGGGGCCTGGCTTTGCGCCTGAGGTGTGGGGCACGACAGGGCAGGACGTGGACCAAGCATCCTTCTGGTCCCAGCAAGAAGGGCTGGTGCTGCTGTGTGGAAAGGGGCAGACCATGTTGAGCTCCATTGCCCTTGCCCTCCGCCAGGGCAGGCAGGGCCTTGAAGGGCCTCTCCCCTCCCGTGCACCGTGGTCCAACTCCAGAGAGGTCCGATATGGGCAGGATGGCTTTTGATGCCCACTCTGTCACAATCAGCAGGCATTTTATCACGTTTATTTCTCATTAACAGCCCAGTGAGGTAGCTGCCCTTCTCCCCGTTTTAAAGATAAGAAAACTGAGGCTGGGAGCTCCCCAATGAGTTACACGGCCAGAGTGGCAGGGCTGGAGGTGAGACTCAGCTGGGCTGACTTTAGATCTGGCCTTGGCCCCTGCCGCCTCCCCCACGGTGGGGTGGCTGGGAGACAGTTCCAGTGCTGCACACTCCACTGAAGCCCGGGTCAGGTGGACAGGGTTTGAGGAGCCATCTGTTCTTCGTAGGTTGGTCACAACATTCTCCACACATGTCTGTGGCCATGCCTTGTGCTGGGGACCCAGCATGCTTACACAGGAGACAGAGGATAGAGTGTGTGGGGGTTCTGTTCAAACAGAATCCACCTCCTATCCTGGCCCCACAAAGAGCCTACACAGGGCTGCTGGCTGGCCGGAGTGCCTCAGCTCGGGGTTACTGGGTGGGTCGCAACCTGAGTGCCTGGGTAGCCACAGAACGACTCGCTCTCTCATCTTGGATGCTGACCCCACCCCCAGGGGATTCCGTCTTCACCTTCACACCCTGGAAGGGCAGGGGATTGCCCTCGTTTAAGTTAAGTGACTCGTCCGAGGTGCTGTGGCAAATGTGGGTGGCCGGGGATGAGCCCTCAGCTGGCCCCGACTTCCGGCCCTTTCTCAAAGAGCTGGCCCGACAGCGCTCCCACCCTTCAAGATCGCCTTCTCTGGCGCTGCTCTGCTAACCGCATCCTGAACTTCTTCATGGCACCAGCGGTGGCCAGGCGGGCGGGCGGGGGCAGGGCTGCCTCCTCACTCCCTGACGTCATCATCCAGCATTGATCCGGGTGGAGCTGCCCACGTCTACCTGCCTGGTGGCATGCTGCAGTGGGGCTTCTCCATGGGGAGCTGGCTCTGCTCTTTCCCAGGTAGGCCTCCCGCCTCTGTCTTCCCTGCCGTGTCTGCTGGCTGGGAGCTCGGATCTCCCAGTTTAGGGTAGGGTGGAAGCGGGTTTCTGGGTTTCATTTGGTTCAGGAGGACACCGAGCAACCCTTGGGACTCGGGCCTGTCATGCGTGGATGGAGGAGGGCTCCTTCTCCAGGGATGGACAGTACAGCTGGCCGTGTGGCGGGGGACAGGGGGAGCTTCAGGTGGGACCTGCCTTGATAATGGGGGAGGAAGGGGTGGAGCAGACTCCATCCTCCCTGGAGGCCATGTTGGCAGACGCTGTCAGAGGCACTGACTGGAGGGTGGACAGAGGGAAAGCTCCGGAGACCCTGTTCCCTTCCTCCATGACTTCACCTTCCAGCACCTGCTGGGGCTTGTGGGGCATTTATGTATGTTGCTTTGGGCCACCACTGGGGCTCATGGCCATGTGTATTTCAGCACAGTCCTAGTCTCTGGGGGCTGAGAGGGGAAGCGGCATGGGCCTCACCCCAGGGCTCATGTCTGGGCGGGGCACAGGTGTGATCTGCAACCTGGAAGGCAGGCTGTGCAAACCAAGCAGACTCAAGCCTGTGGGGCTGGTAGGGAGAGATGTGAGTGGGCCGCTCGGGTGCTGCGTGGACGTGGGGTGTTTGCACTGGTCTTGACGGGCAGGCAAGCAGGATTTCCTTAGATGGTAACAAGCAGAAAATGCTGTTCCTTAAAGGCCGGGGTGACCATGTTTTGCCTGAGACAGGCTAGTTTGTGCCTGTCGACTTGACACAATTACTATTATTATCTTTTAATTTAATATAATTGTACTTTAAGTGAAAGTTTACAATTCAAGTTAGTCTCTCATACAAAAATGTATACATACATTGTTATGTGACCCTAACTGCTCTCCCCACTCTGTGACAGCACACTCCTCCTTTCCACCCCTGATTTCCCATGTCTGTTCAATGAGCTCCTGACCCTCTCTGCCTTCTCATCTCAC